CCTCGTTGGAGCAACCAACTTCATGACTATTACCGCCGAAGGCGCAACTTCTAAGTTCGTACTCAGGTAACCTCTATAGAAAGTGAGAAGGAAAGTCATGGCAAGGGTGTGGTTCATCACTCAGGGTTGTCTACAATCTATATCGTACTAGCACTTGGCGGATAAGGCGCAAAAAATTGGCAGATTCTGCTCCAAAAGCAGTGAAATTGGCAGAACCATACAAACCTTATGGCAGGTACTTCCTTGAATTCTGCTCCATTTCTTTATCCACATACCAAACATGCATGAAACATACAAAAAACGACCAAATTCTGCCGATATTTCTGCCGGAATTATCCACCAAGCTGAGAGCTCTATGTTATCAAACCCATCCCAGTAATTGGAAGTACTACCACCCTGAAAGGGTATATTATTGTGTTGGGTTACAAACAGGCAGGCATGGCGTATTGGGTTAGGTATCAAGCGATACCTGAGTACATGTTTCTGTACAGTCGTGGCCAAAGGAATCCAACACCAAAGTTGAAAGTAGCGCCACGTTTCCAATTCCATTACATCACGCACAGTCAACACAACCAGCCCAGAGCCACAGAGGCTGCATGAGCCATGTCGCTGCTTTTGCAGTTTTGCCATGTTAGTCGGGTTTATTTTGGCCGCGATTGTACATACATGTACATGTAATTGAAGTGCCGGCTGGCTAGAAAGGGGGAAGAGAGAGGGAGTGTGTGTGCGTGCGTGTGCGTGTGTGCGTGTGTGTAATGAAACGTGCATGGTGACTGTAGGATAGCTGCTCTGCGAAGGTATAATTTCTTCTGCGAGGCTCTGGAGCGCAGCACAACGTGTCGTCTGGTCTCAAGCACACCCTGCACAGCTTACATGTAGAGAAAGCCGTCGAAGCGCGGTTGTGTTGTGTTGTGTTCTGTTCTGTTGTGTTGTGTTTGTGCGCTGAGATGCACCACCCTAGGATGGCCAGGCGACGGTATGTTCGCATTCTCACGCTGGAGAGACTGTCTTTCGTCCTTTGCCCTGTGTTGCTTGTGTTCACGTCGCTTCCAGGTCAGGCTTTGCCCGTTCGGGATACCCCAACACCGGACAAACGTATTGCTAATGCCGATCACCTTCAGTCCACGCACAAGCCGCCCGAGCATAAAAACAACTTCCACCATCGAAGATCATCATTCAGAAACCCGCAAAGGCAAGTGTTCACCCCGAAAGCCGGACTGAGTGCTGCCTTTCCCGGACCCAATGCTTTGCCCGGCCTTGTCCACACCAGCCCGGGTTATTCAGCACTCACTGATAGCGATAGAAAGAGCGGACTGAGGTCTTCTCCCCACACACAACACCGACGACAGTCTGGGCTAGTTCTTGCTGGCCCAGTAGTGCAGTCCGGCTACACGGACACCGTGTCAGTCTTCGCTGAAGTCAACCACGCGTCGCGTGCGGCGATGGGCGCATATGCATCACGCGCGTCGCCATCATCAGCAGCCGGAACAGAACTGTTAGCGCCGATCCTGAACATTGTTCCCCCCAAGGCTTTGGGGTTTTCTGTTTGGGGAAATCTTCGTGGTGGCGTTCTCTCTAACCCGGACCGAAGACGGTCGGCGAAAGGTGTTTCAGGACCACTGCTTGACTTTAGATTGTCTTTAACGAGCGGCTCGGCGTTGGAAGAGAGGCATAGCCTGCAGAGTACCAAGACATATGATTTCCAGGCAGCTGAGAGAAGCCCAGCTGGCCTGGCGGGATTCACACGGTTTGCGAACCGTCAAGGAACATTGCATTGTAGAATCAAAGCCAGATCTGCGGGTGGATGGTATCAGCCTACGAAACCTTTCATGCCGCTGCATGGGTATGGTGTATTCGCTGGGTGTCACTATGACCTGGTGAAACCATCCGGTGATAGTGCAGCATCCAAGCGACCGTCAATACGCAGCCCCGCACGACGAACCGCTATTCTAGGATTGGCCATCATCACGGAACTTCGTGGACTTCCCAAGCGGCCATCATCGCCGGGAGGGCGATTCACCCGCCGCTTAGAGCTGGAAGATCGCCTGCGGGCAGAGCATGCAGCTGTCCGGTGGCAGTGGCCTAGCTGGCTACCTACAGGCCACAGAACATTTCCACGTGGTCACCATGGTTACCGTGGGGGCAGTCCCGTAACTAAGCACGTGCGAATGTATATCTATAGTTCTAGCAGTAATCAGAGATCAGCCAAGCAACGCCAAAGGTCACTGGTTCCCACGTTCGAGCACGCCGGCATCCAGTCCCGACCTGCACTCTGGCGGACTAAGAACGGACGCACTCCAGCTAGCCATCCGGAAAGTCACAGCCAGCCGCTTTCATCCAACGGCGGAACGCGCAGCAGGCTGGGAGCAGTACATCGAAACGAGCGCAGACGGAATCCACCAGGGCCATCAAATCTACCTCACCGTCAAGATATCCCTTTCTAACAGGAACACTCCGTGAAGCGTGAAGCATGCCGAAGCAATAGAATCTTTGAGGCCCTCACAGGAAGAAGCCAGGTTTCATGATGCTTGTACAGTTATACGCTCATGCCGCTCTGCCAATCTCGTTCTCTCCGGCCTCTGAAAGCCACACACACACACACACAGGCACACACACACACACACACACACACGCACGCGCGCACAGCACACCCACATACACAGCATACACCTGAACTGGCAAGCAGCCACCGACGCCCTATGAAACGGTTTAGACCAGCGCCTCACTAGCATCCTCCCCCCTCCCCTTACCACAATGTGACGTTATCTTTCACTCTGCTTCTCTCACAACCATCTACCCATTGTCCTCGTTCCTCACTATTATTCATTTCCCCTCTTCCTCCCCTCCTCATGGTTTTACTGCATTATGGCGCGCTTTGTCTGCGTAGACGCCGAGACCTTTGAGGTCGGCAGAGCAGCCTGGCCCCACCACCACTTCTCGCACATATTCGGGAATATAGTGGACTTTTGTATAAAACACAAAAAACACACACATACATGTACACACACACATACGCACACAGTACATACATGATACACAACATACACACGCATACATGTACACACATACATGTACACACACACACACGCGCGAACACGCATGATACCATGCTTCTGTCGCAGGAGCAACAGCAATGACACTAACCTACTTTTACTCCCTCACAGTGCAGCCAATCAACTATAAGCATCAGTATAATAAATTAATAATAATTATACTGATGCTTCATGTCAGTATAATTATACTGATGCTTACACATTGTAGTTGATTATACTGATGCTTTCCGACTTCGAAGTAATAATGACTGCGTGGAAGTCTAAGCCTGGAGGCTTCAGCGGGGAATAAAATTTTAATGAACCTTCCACCCCCCCCCCTCCCCCCCCCCCCCAGGTTTCTCAGTTGCTGGAACCAAAAAATTGGGTCGGATTCACATACTTACACACACCAAACGGGTCTGGATACCCACGAACTGGTACAATCATAGTCATTGAACTCAGGTGTGCATGTGGTGTACATGTAGACACACATAATACGTATCTAATATTGACTGAGTACGAGGTCAATATAGGAAATAAAAGCCAAGTAAAAGACCAAGGTGAATCCGAGGTCTTTTACGAGGTTTTTATTTCCTATACTGACCAAGTACGAAGTCAATATTAGATTTATCACGACAAACAGTCCGTATTTCAAATTCCAAAACGATAACCTCATGAATCCCGGTTTTATGATTGCACAACCGTTGCGCCACCACCTACTCATGCAGTGACAATGCTGCACTAGGCACCGTTCAACTGCGCAACCCCTAAGCAGTCAAATATAAGCAGTCAATATAGCCCTTAGGTCAAGTTAGGAGTGAAATATGCAGGAATATTTGACTGCTTAGGTATGGCAAAAATCTATGTGAGTCAATACTAAGGGAGTGATAAATGCATGCATTGTACATGTACTGCAAAAATAGTTTTCAATCCCTACACAACTTTTGAGGACAACGGGTTGTTAGATACAGTGCAGGTGATTGAAGATTCCGGGGCCCGGGGCCAATCTTTCGCAATGATTGACTTTTATCGCGTCTTCATCCCGTTTGAATGTGCGAACTAAAATAAAAATCGGCAGGAACCAAAGCAGACCAGACCAGCCTTTGGGTCATCCTATTGAAAGATATTACTATTAGAAAGCAGTTTGGTTGAAAGGTGTGTAAGGACCCAATCGGGGGAGCAACTGCCTGCTGCCTCTACTCTAGTCCACGTGCTACCTGCAACTTATGAAGCTTGATTTCACGGTGGATAATATTCTCGTTACGCTCTTCTCGCAAAATTAGCAAAATCATATTAATACGTCGCAAACATTACCCGGCACCATATTTATCAACATTAGGCAGTTTACAGTATTCGTTATACATAACAGTATTACACAATCTGCGGACAGCATGCTGTTTCGTTCTTTGTGAACTCATCAGCGCAGCAGAGAGAAAATGAGGCCGAACCTGATAGCAATGAAAATAAAATTTCCATAACAGTATTACATGTATTTCCATTGTGAGAAGCTACAGAAGTGCAGCCCTATGCCCTATGGCTATCTATTCGTTTATCGTAATACATAACAGTCATTTACATGTACATCCATTGCATGAGAGGCAACTTTTCAGCCAATGGCCTGTGGGAGAAGAAACGTACGGAAACAGATATCATACTTCATAGGCTAGTAATAAAGTAAAAGTAAATTATCGTATCCGTTCCCGAAGGGAACTCACGACGGCCGCTAACACCCGATAAACCCTAGCGGCAGATGCAGCGCCTAACGGTGGGGGTGAGTGGGCAAGTCTCACAACCACTGGCACAAGTGCCGAAAACGACCCCATTAGCTGCATCCATGTACCCCTTGTGCCTGGCCACAAGTTCCCAGTTGACTGTGGGTAGCAGCACGGCTGGAAAAACCGCTCCCAGGCAGGACTAGAACCAGGTACCTCTCGTACCTCAATCATGGTCTTTGACCAACCCACTGTGCCTGCCTAGAGAATTTTATAAATATACATGTACTTCAAATCAGTTTTGATCACATATTCGAAGTAACCATAAAAATACCGAAGGAAGAAGTCAACCGAAATCAAGAAAGTTTAACAAGCCCATGCACTGAAAATGGAATAAAATAATAAAAGCATCATTGAAAGTCGTTATGAGAGCTTTATTGCACTAGATATGGTGTTAATGTCACACTACTGACATAAGCATGCATGCACGCACACATACCACCCCCCCCCCCCCCACACACACACACATGCACATACACACGTACACGCATAAGGTGTGCATTACGGCACACACGCATGATTTGGGTGCGCATAGCACAGCCTAATGCTTCAGCTGCAGCCTATACCTACTAAGTTTTTGGTCATCAGCGGTCACATAGGGCTAGGGTAAGAAGTGCTATGGATTGCACATTTACCATACAAAGTTCACAGACATAATACTATGATATCATCACAGTGTTCACTGAGATCTAACATGCACAGGTTCTGTAGTACACGTTGAATACTATGATGTGTTTGTAAGTTCCTCTCTCAATGCTAGTCCCACGCACATAATGTTACGCATACCTTGCGGATGCCGTACCCGGGCACACGTATTGAGTTATGTTTGACTGCTCTAACTACTAGATTCGTCAGTTCTCTCAAGTATCGGTTGACAAGAAAACCTGTACACTTCAAGGATATTTTGTTCATGCTTGCACCTAGTCTTTGCAGGGCTACACATTGCTGGTATCACATCACAAAGATGTGCTACCACCTTGCCAGCAGGGCAGGTATGCCCAGATGTGTGACTAGCCTTCTGAAGGAGGCGTTACTTTCCCTGCTCGTCGTCGGCGTCATCGGAGTCGCTATCGGAGATGTTGTGCAGGTGCTTGGGTTTCTTCTTTCGCAGTCGGTGATAGTCAGGAGTGCGGCCGGCAAGGAGTACGTCGCTCCCGATCGGCTGCAGATAGCCGTCCTCGTCCACGCGGCCTGCACCGCGGCTGTAGCTGCGGATCGGGCCGTACGCGATTGTGCGGATGAAGCGGTCGCGCAGCGGTTCGCGCGGCACCGACGTGGACAAGGCCAGGTCCGACCAGGCATCCTCCTGTTGAGCACTAGAAAGTAGCACAGTGAACAAGAATGTGTGCATCATTGGATAGCGTTAACACAGCACATCGGAATAGGAAAGTACACACAGACACAGACACACAGACACACACACACACACACACACACACACACACACACACACACACACACACACACACACACACACACACATGTGTTACGACATCCGTACAGGGACAATTCGGGGAACATCATTGCAACAAACGACACTGGGCAGCTCTTCTACAACACACATCAGTCATCGTTCACACCGTACCTGGTTTCCAACTGTGACTTGAAGATGTGGCGGCACACTATACGCACCACATTCCACAGTATCCACACGGCTAGTGAAACAATTGGCAGCGTCTCCATCACGCTTAGCATGACAATGGGAAGGTCTGGATCAGAGCTGGTGATGAAGAAGGCGACCCAGAGCAGCTGGAGAACGCTGAGCAGCACCAGCGAAAAGCTCTGTATGTAGCTGTGGTGGTTGGTCAGCCACCAGCCACGTTTGTTCTCCACGTCGGCGCTGTAGCGAATCGATGCCAGACAGGTCAGCGTCAAGTCGGCAGCAAACATGATGAAGCGAATACTCTGTGTAGACACACACACATACATACACACACACACACATACATACACACACACACACACATACATACACACACACACACACATAGACACACATACACATACACACACACACACACATACACACACACACACACACACACACACACATGCGGGCACAAATGTACACGCATGGGTGCACACCCACAAGCACGAGTGCACACAGATAGACATACGGACAGACACGCACACAAGTACACAAACACACACACACACACAAGTACACACACACATGTACACACACATGTAGACACACACATGTACACACACACTCTCACACACACACACACACACGCGCACACGCACACACACACACACACACACACACACACACACACACTCCTTCCTTCCTTCCTTCTTCCACTGCCATGACTGGCTATGTGGCCCCATACGGGGCAGACCAGGAGACGTGTTGTCCACCGGGCGGGGAACGCCATACTCAGCGCGCGCGGGCCGCGCGAACAGCGTTACACTTGTGCCTCGCAATGTCCTGCGGCCGACGAAAACTGCGCGCACAAGTGCCACAGATGAGGGGCTTCGCCACAGGCTCCATGCGGGCCTGGACAATTGCGTCGACAGCATCACGGCAGGTGACTCGCCATCCCTGTCGATCTTGGACGATGTCACCAAGCTGCTCCAGAGGAACGCCAACAGCCATCAAGTCGCACTTCGCGGAGTCCTTCCAGCTCTTACGGGGTCCATGCGGTGGACGTTTGGAGGGTAATGCGCCGTACAGCAGCTGACGAGGGATCCGATCTGGCATGCGGGACACGTGGCCAAGCCATCGAAGTCGGCGGACTCTGACTTTATCCGCGATCTCCTCCATATCGCCCCACATCCTGCGAACCTGGAGAGAGGAGATGTGCTCCTCGATCTGCCGGCCACGATTTATCTTCAGGATGGAACGCACGCACTGCAGGTGAAAGGACTCCAGGCGACGGACATCACGCTGCCTGACGGTCCAACTCTCAGATCCATAAAGAAGGACCGCCAGGACAGTCACTCCATACACGATGCGCTTGATGGCGATGCTGAAGTCATCACTGGCGAAAACCGACTCCCGCAGTGTACAGAACGCACCCGATGCAGCAGCAACTCGCCGAGACACATCAAATGAGCTCCGGGCGTCTGGCGTAACATGACAACCGAGATAGCGAAAGGCCTCAACGTGGTCAACAACACCATCCAAAGGGGTCTGGTCGGCATCCACAATACCAGCCCCAGCCGCCATGAATTTGGTCTTGGACATATTGACACTAAGGCCAAACGCACCAGCTACATCCCTGAACGAGGATAGAGCCCTCTCAGCACCAGCATGCGTAACTGCGAGCAAGGCTGAATCATCCGCAAACTGACACTCCGTCAGCCGAACTCTGCGATACTCTGCCAATCTGGTGTTGAAAAGCCGCTCCCTCCGAAACTGGACGAGTGGGATCCCCAGCTCACCATCATCAGCAATCACGCCACGCCATCTCTCGAAGACTGCACACATGTATAGGTTAAACAAAACCGGGGCCATAGTACAACCCTGCCGCAAGCCATTCTCAACCCGAATCGGTGCAAGCAGGTCTCCACCCACACGAATACTGGCAGTCATGTCGATATGGAAGGAACTGATGATGGTGATCAGATTCCCTGGGACGCCAAGTCTAGCCAACACTCTCCACATAGCACTCCGCGGAACCGAGTCGTACGCTTTCTTCAGATCGATAAATACAGCGAAACCTTTCGTGGCATGTTCGTGCAACTTTTCCAGGATCTGCCGCACAGCAAACACCATATCCGAACAACCACGGCCCCTGCGGAAACCACACTGCGAGTCAGGCAAGCACCTTTCTCCGAGAACCTGCAGACGATTGGCAATCATGCGAGCAACTAGCTTTCCAGCCACATCCAGTAACGATATCCCACGCCAGTTGTCGCAAGACCCCAGGTCACCCTTCTTGGGGATGGCCCCCACACACACTCACACACACACACTCACACACACACATGCACCTATGCACACCAAAATTAAATTTACATCCCACGTGAGAGTCATCACTGCCAAAGATCAAAGAAGGTGCGAGTCGGTCGGAAAACAGCAAAATTTCCAAACTTCGACACTCCCTGAATGCTGCTTCTAAGTTAGTTTACCTACGTAGAAGGTCAAACGTCTCAGATACCAGAACGGTGGCACAAAAAAAAACTTCCGCATTCAAGCAGGGCCTGAACCTGATGCCATCTGTTTCTCAATCACGGCCCTAGACCTTCGCATTTTCGTGCAGTCCAAACACTCAATATGATATATACCCAAATCCCCAATGCTTCAGACAGCAACCTGTTTTGGCCATCTAGGCCTCATCAGTACACCCAAATCCTACTCCTTAGTTGTTGGTCAGCGCTACGGAGATGTGTTGAAGCTAAGTGTCAGTACGTCGAATGTCTCAGTATTCTGTCAGCTTTGTGCCTAGTTGTTGCACTTTCTGACTGTATAATAGTATCTGGTTACAGTGGTTGATAGTTTCCATGGCCAGCAATCGAGGACATCTGAGAGTTGTAATTTTTGTACTCCTCCGAGGTGTGATTTTTGGCGTGCTGGGCCAAGCACATGCACAAGGAAGCCATCTGCAAAAAAACTGCAGAAAATGGTTGTTGTTTGATCCTTTGGTGTAATCTTTGTTTCTAGTCGAAGCTAGTTGCTGTTTGGTGCAGAAACGCTGAAATTGACTATTTTCTGCATGTACTCATACATGTACTCATGTACTCAGGCATGCAGTCTCACTCGTATTTTAGCTCTTTTTCAAGTTCTGGAATGGATGCTGCTCTGCGCCCCTTGGTGAACATATCCTGCGCTCGTGGAGCAGCTGAAAAGGACCACTGGTATGTCTGGTTCCTGGTTTGAAAGTGGAGAGTCGACTTCTGTGCCTTGAAAAAGGAGTAGAGAGCGATAAAGGTACGTCTGTGGCTTATTTTTGAGTGCTCCTCGTACATTTTTGATCGTGATAGAAATTCTCAGACCAAAGTCAGCGCGATGATGGCCGTACAGTTTTCTTGTGGATTTTTTAGTTGTTTCATCTCGTATCTATGTCAGTATCGTGATGGTGAAGTGGAGAGGGTGATTTTCTTCCTCTAGGCTTCGTTCGGCCGACTTTGGTTCGTCCTCGTTGAAAAGTGATCCTGAAAAAAAGTCGATTCGCAAAATTATGTTGATTTTGAATGTACGTGATGACATGCGATTGCTGGCTATGCTCTTAACTCGTATCCATGTGTCCGTTTCCTTTCTACCTAAGGCATAGCAATCAGAGTTAGGTTTCGAGGCTTGGTTCATCAACACACTACTAGCACAGCAGCCGGGAATATGGTATGGACATGTACCTGGTGTAGCGACACGTCGTATATGCCGTTTCCGGTGACGACCGCCGCTTTGCGTATCATATCCCATGAGAACCACCACACGGCGCCCACACCCTCCTTGTAGCCAAACCAGGCCTTGCGCTGCAGACACACACACACACACACACACACACACACACACACACACACACACACACACACACACACACACACACAGAAGAAAAGACAGTAGAATGGTGCTATACAATAATTCCAATGTCTCAGTACATTGGGCAAGCGCCTCGTCCCATTCTTTGTCGTATTCGGCATTCGTTAGCACGTGATCATAGTCTCCATGAATATGGGTGAGAAATGAGAACCAGAAACAGCAGTCTGTTCAAAAACAGATTTTATGCTTGTATGGTGTTGCCGATGTCACATCTTGTATGGTGCGACAGCGTTCGGAGCAAAACCGGACCGTTCTAAAGAAAGGCACACACTTCTAAGTTTGTGGGCTTCTCGCCTCACAACACCGGAGCCACCTTCTGACCACCCCGCCCCTATCCTACACCACTTCTCAGGCTGTGGAGATGTGTCGCGCTGTCATATTAGTGCCAGATGACAACAAGTCCAATGCTCATTTCATTATCGGGGTTCGAGGTTTTGCAAAAGAATTTCACGGTTCCCATCGTATGTGTGTGTGTATATAAAACGATGTGTGTATGTATGTGTGTTATGTGTGTGTGTATGTTTGTTGTGTGTGTGTGGTGTGTGTGTGTGTGTGTGTGTGTGTGTGTGTGTGTGTGTGTGTGTGTGTGTGTGTGTGTGTGTGTGTGTGTGTGCGTGCGTGCAATGGACATTGGGTGTGGGCGGTTCGGGCTCGAAACAGCGGTACATGCGGCGCCAGTCGGGGTGAGAATCTGCCAGATCGTACCATCCCTCCACAGCATTCAGGGCCTTCAGGTCTGCACTATTGCAGTCTTTCCAGCGTTTGCGTGGACCGCCAGGTAGACGGCGAAATGGGAGCAGACCGAACAACAAAATCTTCGGGATGCGCTCTGGTGGCATGCGAGCAACATGACCCAGCCACTCAAGTCGTCGCTGGCAAATCCGGACAGCAAGTGGGCGCTTGTCGCCCCACATTTCCAGCAACTGATCATTGCTGATCCGCTCTTGCCAAGTATGTGATCGGTACTTCTCTCGCCTACCAGATGAGAAGCGTCACAAATGCTTGGCAGAACGGCAGAAACCAGTGTGCAATCAGGCTGGCGCTTGCCAATGTCGTCTCTGCCAACGTTGGTTCCGCAGCCCCGGTGGATTGGCTAACCATCGGTGCGATCACGGACCTGCTCCCAACATTGAGTACCCCGGCAACCCGGTCACTCCGCAGTGCAGCACCTGCCACCGGAGTTTCAAGTCCAGCAGCGGTTGGGCCAGACACAAGTGCGACCGCACGAAACGTAGGACAGTGTCGGAAAGGGCCGACTTCCCGTTTGAGTGCCCTTGCCAAAGGAATTTCCGACTACGTCACCATCTAGTGCGCCATCAGAAGTGCTGCTCCTCAGCCTCTTCCGCCCCTCTCCCCTGACGGCGACCGTGTAACCTATCAAGGCAACGTGTATCAAGGTCAAGGTCAAGGTGTGCGTGCGTGTGTGTGTGTCCCTCTGCATTTGTTGGCTGTTCCGAGTGGAATTTGTTTGTACTGGCATACATTTGAAGTGTGAACGTTCCATAGCAGCACAGGTTTCCACGGAGAAAATGAGACGCACCGATCCCGTCGCTTACCGTAGACTTCGCAGGCGACGCTAGTGACATGGTGTTGTATAGTGTCAGCAGAAAGGGAGCGGGGACGAGAATCAGTCCGGCAAAGAGAGCGACGGGCAGGGCATACTTAAGATGGCGATCTTGCCAGCACAGTACATTGCCATCGTTCAGCAGCCTCTGCAGTGACGCGGCGGAAAACAGACATCAAAATCACACACACACACACACACATTAGCGTACTGTTAAGCAATCACCGCATGTTGCACAGAAACGACAAGAATTCGCAACCCAACAGATTCTTGGTTGGAGGGAAACAAATCGGTACACGATGCACAGAAGCCATTACAGTTTCGACTAGGCCTTCCGTCCCATTACTATTCAAGTGGAATACAATGGTGATTAACAAAGTAGCAAGCAAGTCCTTATCACCTGTAAGCAGACATACCTTTTGAGTTCCGCTGGAAAACTTTATGTCAGCACAGAACAGAGTCCGGTAGGCGCCCAACCACATGTTAAGGTACATCAGTTGGAAGCAGGTTAGGAACGTGTGTATAAACCGTCTCATCCACATCCGCCGGCGCTTCTTCAGCGCAAGCCAGCTGCCATGGACGGAAAAGCAAAAAATAGAATTAACAACACACTTTTGTTACGTATTGGCATGCATGCATCAGCACACATTTGAAATGATTTACAAGTAACATACTTGTCGAACCTGGATGTAGCGACACCGGCAATATCTACAGACCATCGATAATGATGGAAAAGTGGTGGGTGCCTGCAGCACAGCATTTGCGAGTGCCTCCGTCTGTTTCGAGTACGTCTGTCTCCGTAGAAATTCCACCTCCCCACCACATGCGCTCTCTGGCCGACCTCACCACACCAGCAACAGGACTCCAAGTTGTCGACAAATAAGAACCCCCCCCCCCCCCGCACTCCCCACAGCCGCTAGTATGGCTAGTTTGGGGGTAGATAGTTCGTAGTAAAGCCTCTTGTACTGGCTAAATGAATTGCACATATCATCAAACAAATTCAGTAAACTACTTCGAAGTACAAAAATCAATTTAAAAGGTAGTCAATCAATTGGAACACAGAATAAAAAAGTAAAAATCAATTAAAAAAAGCTAATTAGTACAGTATGTCTGTCAATCTCTTACCAAATAGCATATGTGACTACCAGTGTTGCGGTCACAGCACCCAGCGGTACAAAGAAGAGTGCGGAGTTCTGCAGGGCGTCCATGCTCTCAAAGATACAGGCCCCGAAGAGAAAGTCCAGCGACGTGTAGAACTGCAGATACATCAACTGATCGAGGACAGCGCACACACACGCAGAGGCACACATGCATGCACGCACACGCACGCACACACACGCACACACACACACACACACACACACACACACACACACACACACACACACACACACATACACACACACACATACACTCACACACACATACACACACATACACACACATACACACACATACACACACGCACGCACGCACGCGCACACACACACACACACACACACACACACAGATATGCCGATGGGTCGTCAACCCGGCGAACACTCATGGTGCAAGTGACTCATTCGTTTCAAACTGGGCGTCAGAAATACGGAGCTGAGAGGATAGAAATTTCCCATCACCAATATCTATATTGCACACAGGTCGATGATAACTTACAACCCGGAAGATGTTATCACTGTTGCTGTTGGGTAGATAGGATGCCACCTGGACATCAGCAAGCACATACAATGAAGAGTTTCGTTGCATAAATTTGATAAATTGAAATTTGGGATCAGTACAACCCAAAAGTCTAGGGGTACATTCAGCCGGCAAAATTTCACTTTCAAAATCCGACTAGAACCACTTCAAAACTGTCGGCCAAATGTGGATTTAGATACAAATCAAACATACATGAATCGCTTGTGGGCCATTATACACGTAGTATCCAAAGAGTGATGACATGGATATACCGTGTTTTGCATCGAACTCTTCAACCCAACAACACAAGAAAATGAAAAGGATGCTCGTGCACATCGTTCAGCACAATCACAAATGACCGGAATTTGCTGTGGGCTCTGAATGAGTCTGAAATAGCTGATTAGACTTTGCCTGTATTTCACCTGACGAAAAGGCTTGAAAGGATAGTAGTGAAACTTTCGAGAGGTTGTTCAAGAGCCTGAAGTGTGCCCTTCTTCTCAGTGTCATTGAAATAGCTGACTATCATTATTGACTCGGATACCGAGCCATTAAATATAATGAAAATAGAAGAAATCACACGGAAAAGAGGTATGAAGCAACTATCCACGACTGTAACAAGATAATAAGTAGCCGGTTATCGCACTTTCTGACTACCTATTATCTTGTTACAGTCGTGGATAGTTGCTTCATAACTCGTTTCCATGTGATTTCTTCTACCATTATTAGTGAGTACTTCCAAGTGGTCTTAATGACGTGATCGGGTAACCTGTACAGTTTCTGAATGCTTACCTGCACATAGTGGACGAATACCCACACATAGTGCGGTAGGTGAATGTCCAGGAAGAAGATCAGAAGAGACAGCCCGGCCGGAATGCCAGCTGATAGGGCACGCACAGCAGAGACACAGAGATACACACAGGTGTTCACAGACAATCACAGGCATGCACCGATCAGCAGGGCTGGTCAGACAAACTACAACAACGCCGCCGCTGGTCAATGGTTCCTTGGTGCACTAACACCAGAGTGGCACCAGGGCCTTAGCACCCGGTCCGGTAGGGCAGGTGTGTTCTCGCCCGGACCTTAATTTGACAAAACAAAAAGAAAAAGGTTGGCCCACCCTCGCTGTGCACATCGGTACATGCAGAAGTAAGGTTGACAACCAGGCAGTCCCTGGCTGAAATGTTTTCAGTCAAGTACCACATTCGGGCAGACAACCCGAAACAGCGGTGCTATGCTTCTGGTGTGCGGCGAGTGGAAAGGCGTACCGTATTTACCCGATTGTAAGTCGCACCTTTTTTTACACTATGCTTCAAGTGCAAAGAAGGGGATGCGACTTACAATCGAGAGTGACATCCTACTTATACGAATATATTGAAACAGTAGGGCTAAACCTGAAAACGGGGGTGCACCTTATAATCGAAGGCGGCTTATAACCGGTGGGATTTGAACCAAGTAATCTTGTCTTTCCAGGACAGTGCCTTACTGGTTATGTTACGGGAATCGTATGCAGAAACTCACAACTGCGGTCCACTCATTCTACACTACTATCCCTTCCCAGGAATGTGCTAACAGGTGCGTGTGTGTGTTTGTGTATGTATGTATGTATGTGCGCGCGCGTGTGTGTATATGTGTACTCGCATGAATGATCCCCATCAGCCTAATGGGTAGGGGACTGTTCTGGAAATGTCGTGGTGCTGGGTTCAAATCCTGTCCGTGGGTCCTTTTTTGCAACAAGACTTAACTCTAGTTACACGGGAAATTGATACGGATAATGGCTACATTCCAATTGCAGGTTGCACGATTGTTGCAGTGCTGATGTTCACTGCTAAGCTTCACAAACCTGTCTCTTCACCCACAGTGGTTGAATTCCTTTACTTCTGTGCCCTAGCCTCGAGGTAGAAATATAAACACCAACCAGCACGGACCAATAATGGTATTGGTTTTTCTTGAGCATTATAAAAGTACGAACTTAGAACATTGGAACAATCAACTTCATTATAAAAGTATATTCTTTTAATCGAAGAGCTTGTACACAGCGATTGTGAATTTGTGACGCACACACGCACGCACGCACACACAGTACAGACCAACTCACCCATGAGTACCAGCAATCCAGGCTGGTGTTTGCAGTCCTGACAATCCACAATCCACTGTGCGTGTACTAGACCCTTATGAGAAGGGCAACTGCCGCATAACACACCTGCACGGAAGTAACCAAATCAAACAGATCATTGAAAATGCTCCCCAGAAAGCACACTACGACAAATCAGGACTTCAACTAACACAATGTCATCCAAAGCCCTAGAGTTTACCGTAACAGGCATCCCAACCTGTCAACAAGTATCGCCTATGCCAAAAGACCAAGCATGCCTGATATACCGCCTGCCAACGGAGATCACCCGTCACCATGAATTTGTTGATGCCATACTAAGTTCATTAAAATCTACTGCTAATCTACAACTGCTGTCCTTTATAAAGCCCGCTCCCCACTAAAGACCAGATGTCCATACACCATGCCTCCATCGGCCTGTGAGCCGTACATCTCCTAACCTGTTCGATTGGTGTTGCACAGGCTGTTTGGCCGTGAGCTGTCGAAGAAGCAGCCGCGATGGCCGACGGATTCTTCGCAGCACTGCCCAAGCCCGTACACTGCCGATTCACTTGCACTGCAGTACGGTTTGCAGTAACCAAACGGACAGCGATGGTAGAAGATATCGCCGTCTGCTGTGGTGTTTGTTACCCAGAAGTCGCTCTGCAATGTTCACGGCCAAAGCAAATGATAGCAAACACAGCGGCTACTGGTTAGAGATATATGTACTAGTATTGCTCTTGGTTTGTCATAATGTTTATAGTCAGAAATATACGCAGACACCCCCTCCCACCCCACCCCCCTCCGAACACCCACATCCACCCACACATCCCATACCTGCCAAGTATCCAGATTTTTTCGGGATTATCCCGCAATTTTGGATGAATTCCCGCGATCCCGAAATTCCTGTCGATTATCCCGAAATTCACTGTACAAGAAACAAGCTTGATATTGTACTTGGAGCCCTTCAAATGACTTGTCACAGGCCAGTAATTGTCCTTATTGATCCCGGACCGCCATAGCCTGCAGTACCAGTGAATCTCCTAGTGCTCTCCATGAGCAGTCTCTGAAAAACCTCCATTTTTGAGTCTTGAACATGTGTAAGTGTGATCCGATGATCACCATCAATCATCTATTATCGAAATGTTGGTGCCATCAAAAGTTGAAAACGGATTTTTTTGGTAAAAATATGACATCCCGAAAAACCAAGGCAAATCCCGCGATTTTTTGCCATGGCGATCCAGAAAAAGCACTCTCAGTACTTGGCAGGTATTACATCCACATCCATCCACACATCCACATCCACATCCATGCACCCACATACACCCACACCCACATACTCCTATTGAGCTTGAGTACACAAAAACACCACAACCTAGACTGTACACTGATGCACAGGAGAAAGGCAAGGACTGCTGAAACATGCCTGCAAGTGACCAGCACAAATTACACAAGACACAACGAGCAAGTACATTGCACACCAGTGATTATCGCAAACTTAAAAAATTCACGGTTCGCGTGAGACTCGGCTGCAGGCCCAGTTTTCAGCATCCACAGGAACGCCACCACCCTCTGGGATCAAGGCACAGATGCAGGAACGCCACCACCCTCTGGAATCAAGGCACAGGAACACCACCACCCTCTGGAATCAAGGCACAGGAACACCACCACCCTCTGGAATCAAGGCACAGATGCAGCTCCTAACCGTATTACTGATCTAATCACAGACTTACTTTCAGCACTATTCCGGTTCCTCCCTGGACGCAGGATTGAAACACATCGTCCGTTTCAAGACACAGGCACGTGTAATGGCCGTTGGCAGTTTTGTTGGGCAGATATCCAGCACGACAATGACCCACTCTCAACTGAATGTAGTCATTTGCCTGGAGAAAGTGGACAATTTGTGAAAAAACAAATGGCAGGCACAGGCTGGTATAAAAGTGAAGAGAATAAGATACCGTTAGAACTACACACAAAACAACACACACACACGCATGCACGCAAACGCACACAAACAATACACACCCACATGCACACAAACACACACATGCACACAAACACACACATGCACACAAACACACACATGCGCATGCACACACACGCGCGCACGTACGCACACACGGATACACACACAAACACACATGCACATACACACATACACACACGTGCGCGCACACACACACACACACACACACACACACACACACGGACACATGCACACAGAAATCATCATTAAAAAAAAATTTGACGGGTTCGCGTACCGGGCAGGTCAAGAACAAGGAGTCGTACTACTCCCTGGTCAAGAACCACCTTTCCGCTTCCGTCATCATTAACTCACGCACATTAGTAACTGATGTACAAAGTCTCCTCAATGCAGTGCTAACACCGAGAGTGGAATTCACTGACACACAGACACAGACACAGATACACAATCACACAGACACAATCACACAGACACAATCACACAGACACAATCACACATACAATCACACACACACACACACACACACACACACACACACACACACATACACACATGCACGCGTACACAGACACACGCACACACGCACACACACACACACACACACACACACACACACACACACACACACACACACAATTCTCCATTCTACAGAACATCACCGTACCACAAAGTGTGAGACGAGTGGCTGCAGTGTCACGTTCACGTCATGACCTTCATCCTCACTGAACTCATAGTCGTTAGAATAGCTGACGAAGGAGAGATTGCTGACGCTGATCACTTCAAAGTGTACATTCTTGAAACTGACAACATCGTCCGGTGTCGCCTACAAGATGGTAGAAAGCAACGCAGAGCGAAGACTGATTTAATTAGACAATTTCATTAGACTGTTAGAAAGAGAATGAGAGCTGCAGACATTGTCACACAACTTAACACGGTGCTATGGTTTCAAGTACGCATTCATTCTGAAAATTAATTGGAGTTTCGTACTCGGCTCATAGGTGGCGGTGCAGAGTTGTCTCCATGCATATTATTCTGAGGTTGTTCAGGGGAAATATTCAATGCATTCATTGGATATGGTTGATCTCTTGCTCCTATATTGTGTGTCCACAGTCATCAATCTCCATTCTTATTCATCGAATCACTTTCTGTTTCCTTCTCATGGAATTTAGACGTATGACCAAGCACATGTCAGCGATAATTGGGACATCAGGCTCTACTACTGTAGACCTGAACGTGTGCTTCTGTTAGCTCCCGGGTAAACGAAGTCCCCTCACCCTTCCAGAACACAGGGGTTTTGTAGAATAATTATGCGGACGAAGTGTTTACACAAGAGAGTAGACAAGAGTGAGGAGGAGAACAGAACTACAACTCGAGAACCACTGGCGGATGCGCTCTTCTATACTGGAGTGGCTCTCATCACTATGGTGAAGGAGCGGGAAATACGAATAGTGAGTATGTACGTTCTTAGTATAAACACACCTGTTACACTTCCTCAGGAGGTTCTGAAGTAGAATATTATAAATAGCCACTTTGTGCACAAATACACACTGGCACTTCAACAACCATACCTGTAGTTTGGTGTTGAGTTCAGACGGGTTGCAGTTCTGATCGACAAGAATAGCCTCAACCCCGATCGTCTGTCCGGGACTGAACGTCAGCATCTGAAGAAATTGAAGCGAGTTTGAGAGAAAAAGGAAACGAGAAAGAAACGGCACCGTTAGCGGTGTGAGCCCAGGCAATGATGAGAAAGTTGAAATTAAACTTTCTATGCCACAGTAAAAGATGCACCCACCAGCGCTGTATGCTCGACTGCACGGAATTCTTCAATTCTTCTCATTTCCGCCCAGGAGCGCATCATAAGGGGAAAGTAGCGATCTGTTGCTATGACAACGCTGCAATGTATTTACACTCACTTACAGTACTGTTCAAATAACTGGAGGAGGGGGGGGGGGGGTAGCCTCGTAGCCTAGACCATTCTTATTCTCATGTACTAGGGTCTATGCAGAGTTGAGTCACCGTGTATACATTGGTATGCTGTGATTGGTGAAGTTCTACACAGTTTGTTCTTCGGCGTCCAACAGTACATGTATCGTACACTTCTTCTGTATTCCATAGTTTGTTATATCCAGGGCACGGCACACTATACTTCCCAGTACTACAATGTACTGCGGGTAAATACATCCCCACCCACCTTTGGGTCTGCTGAGCTCTCCGGTGGCAGCAGCCAGTGTTCTTGAAAGGAATCCGTTGCTACCGACGGGCAGTAGATGCCGTAGTTGTCCAGCGACTCTCTCGTCGTCTGGTTACCGCAAACGGCTGGCTCTCCTCTGGACTGCAGCGGAGCTTTGCGATAGCATTCTTCGGGCGACGGGAAACCCTCGTAGTCGCACGCCGAGTTGTTCCTGTAGATGCAGCACCAACACACACACACACACAAACACACACACACATACACACACACACATACACACACACACACATACACACACACACACGCACACACACACACACACACACACACACACACACACACACACACACACACACACACACACACACACACACACACACACACACAGTAGAATAATGTCACTACAGTCATGCTAGTGCTATAAAAGAGATGACAGTACATTCATCTCGTACCTCGGTTATCCGGACCCAGAAGTTGCGGGCACTTCGGTCTACCGGGCACCCTTTGGGCGAGTTTCAGTTGAAATATTACTACTCTTTTGTGGAAATAGTGACACCACATGCCATATCTATGGCCGTTCACCATCAACATGATTGTAAGTAATTCGGAGTTACAGGCATTTCAAAGTTACGGTCAGTGCTCGGTCCCGGACCGCCCGGATAAACGAGGTACGAGTGTATTTCCATTAACCCCCACCCCCTCCTGACCATCCTCCTCTCGCCCGCACTCTGTGCTTACCTGAATACGAATGATTTGGGGTAATCCTGCTCGCAACGCCGACTGCGCCACCATGAAGCGCAGTCCAGCATGGAGGAGGTGTAGATGGCCGCACCCTTCCATGCCGTGTTGTTCTCAAACTTGAACTTGGCCTGGGAGAGCAGTGAAAATCATGCATAGCAGTAGAAATACGTCTCAGCCAAATGCTCAAGTCACACCTAAACCATGATCCCCGTATACAGAACGTATCCAGTGGCAGACCAACTTTCTTTAGAGGTCACCTTTATGTAGAGATCACCTTTCTTTAGAGATCACCTTTCTTTAGAGATCACCTTTATGTAGAGATCACCTTTCTTTAGAGACCATTGCTATTTTAAAGTGACAACCTATATTTAGAGGCCACCTGTTTTACGTGACCACCTGCCTTTAGTGACCACCTGTATTGAGTGACCACTTGTATTAAGTGACCACCTGTCTTTAGAGGTCACCTGTATTTAGAGGCCACCTGTATATCGAGTCCAACTTATCAGGTGCCATGCCATGCTTAAACTTACTTCGAGACCTGCTAAGAAGAACCACCTGCACATCGAGACCGTTTGTCTGTGCATCGTGCAGTCATCACTATGGACAGACATTACTTCAAGACCCAATGCCTCCTAGATTGCATTGTGAGGTCTAGATTGTCTTGCAGAATAAAAGGCTGCTGACCTATAATACATGCCCACTGACTGTGGGTATTATTCAAACTATTCTGGTGCAATTAGCTTATCGAGTACCACAGTCATTTTATCATCGAGTGCCCAGCCATTCGATGATTGAATACCCAGCCATTCATTCACCTAATGTCCGGGCATTCAATCATCGACTTCCCAGCCATTCGATGATTGAATACCCAGCCATTTGATCACCAAATGCCCGACAATTCAGTGCTCTCTACTCTCTTTCTCCTGTTCCCTTACCAAGCTATCTGAAGCAGCGGATGGGTACGAGAACTGCCGTGAGCTGAATATGATGAAGCACCGGTGCGAGAAGATGTCGCCGCTTCCCACCGACACTTGAGCTGACGCCAACGATGTCAGGCTGAAAATTCCAGCTCCAAAACCGGCAAAGTTGTCACTCACGACGACCTCGCTGCTGTTGGTGACGTAGATTTGTGAACGCTGGACAGAGGACATAGGAAACATGGGAACAGCTCACACCAAAATCCAGTCAAAGCGACTTTTTGCCGCTTGGGAATTAAGCATGCGTTTTTGGGTCACATAGGTGTTCGGGTCTTGTGGCTATTTAGGTCAAATAGGTGTTGGCACATGGAAGCTCACATATAGATGCCACAGTTCCAGAATATCCAGGCATCGGGGGAAAGTTTGGTTTCGACATAACTACAACCAAGAGTACATGAAAACCAGAGTGTGCAGCTTGGGGCTTTTTCTACTATGGGTGTCTGTCATAGCGGAATTCCGTGATTTCATCATGTTTGGCGCAGACCTGAGGCGGGAAATGGCGTAGTGCTTACAACTGAGCTGCAGGTGTGCAGAAAGAGACCTGCTTGAATCCTGCTTGTACGCACTACATCACTATAATGATGTAATCACGGAATTCCGCGCCGTGACAGCAACCCATCCGAGCTTCACACTCTGGTTTTCATGTACTCTTGCTACAACTGTACAAATTCATACCACCATTCCACGTTTGGATAATTGGCATTCTACTACACTGTAAAGTAGCTCTGACCTTGAACTGTTCAGTGAAAGTGTAAAATGTAAGGTGATTGATTCAAAGCGACGCTGGGCGAAGAGTCAGTTGAAGGCATCTAAAAACACAACATAGTCTGGCCTCTTGCGTTGTCAAGTATTCAAGTCATATTGGTCTCTGATTGCTACATTACTGCTTACTGTGTCTTCACTGACTTCAGGGTGTGCAGACTCCACTGTAGCCACTTCATGTTTCACACAGCTATACACCACTACCCAAAAAATGGTCTCGTCTACAAATTCTTCCAAAACTAAAAACGATTAATTAAATTTATGAGAATTTAGAAGGAAAAAGGACCAAGGAACTACAAGTTACTAAACAATCAGCTTATACGATAACATTGCACGACACTGACCGACGGTACTGACGTTCTACAACTAACTGGCTACATCTCAATTAAATAGAATCCAAATTTTCGGGCCAGGCCCATGCTCATACTTACTCCAGTCAGATAAATTCCTCCGCCGTAGCTCTCCAAGTTGAAGCCGTCAAATTCAGTGTTGACATTGCCCGACACCACGAGCTTTCCGCTGACATACAGAGCAGCACTGCGTACCACGATCGAGCGGATGGAGTTTGTCTGGAACTTGGTCTCACCGCTGCCAAACTCCACGGGTAACTGCAGAATCCAACAGGATATGCCATCGGTTAATGAAGTCTAACACCTGCCTCACAATTACATTGAACTATTGAAATCAATAGGAACAATAATAACTATATTTCAGGGCTCGACTGGACTCACTAGTCAGTCAGACTCAGTTGTCTGAATCAGCAGGAATGCTACCACCCGTAGGAGGTGAGTTCATGGGACCCATGACAAAGTGGCCAAACACCGAAAATCCCGTTGGCTGCATCCAATTTACCCTCTCGCCAGAGGCCACAAAAGTTCAAATTAGCTGCGAGTCGCAGTACGGTTTGGAAAATACTTCCGCTTCCAGCAGGAACCTGTTACTATCCAGGCGCGTAGCCCGTATAGGGCACGGGGGGGGGGGGGGGAGAGGCATGTGCACCCCCTAAATATTTCAACATGCACATAATGACCATGAATGACATGCACCAGCCATCATACACATGCATTGTATGCAGCCGTGCACCCCCTAAGGGGGTGGGGGCATAGCTGCCCCCGCCGCAGTATATGTTGTGCAGTCTTGGTCCAAAACCATCCCACAATGCCTACTTGCCTGAAATCGGTCAGTTATTGCATGATTTGATTGCTTTAGAAGCATTTCTTTGGTAGCGCGGAGGGGAGTAAAACAGCTAGTCCATGAAAGGCATTTATTTTTTACTTTATTTTATTTTTATTCTTATTATTTTTACTAGGGAATTCCCAACAGGCGTCATCGCCTTTTAAAGGGAACCCTAATAAAGTCTTGATGGATGATGGGAATTCAGCAGGTGAATTAGAAAGGCGGTAAGCAGCCTTGAAGAGCAGACAGAAACTACTCGTGCACAATGAGTTGCAGTGCAGCCTTGCTCACCTTTTCGCACAGCACCGTGCAATGTGTATCGCTCCAGGCAAACAGGCGCTGAAGATACTGACCGGCTTT